CCTTCTTATCTGGGGACTGTCTCGGTTCTCTAGTGCTGCTGTAGCAGAAGTATCACAAGTGGATGGCGTTAAGAGGTAGCAGTGTATTCTCTGACCGTTTAGGAGGCGGAGCGTCCAGATGGAGAGTGAAGGAAGGCTTCCTCCCTCTGATGGCTCTGAGGGAAGTCCTTGTCTCCTTTCAGCATCTGTGGGCTCAGGGTCCCTGGAAGATCTCTGAGTATCTTGTTACCAGTTTTCCCCTGGGTCTAGGAGGTTCTCAGTGCAGTAGCCCAGGTCCAAAGACCACCCTGCACTCCGGGCTCCTCTTTCTCGGTAATACTAAGGTCCCTCTTTCTCTGCTTACTTCCCCTTTCATCTCTTGAAAATGAAAAGTGACGTAGGCCACACCCACGAAAACTCCCCTTACATCAGATCAGGGTTGTGACCTGCGTAAGGATGTTCATCCTGCCTTAATGCCTTTATTACTGATTGGCTGATCTTATCAGATCATATTGTAGGAAAGGATTCCATCATCACATAACTGCCAAACTACTGAGAATCATGGCCTAGCCAGGTTGATACATATTTAGGGGAACGTAATTCAGTCCATGACAGGGACTATCTAGGCAAACTTCCCCAGATTCCCTGAAATTCTACTTGAATACTCCCAGAGACTACCTCTTGAATCTTGGTACCTCTCTCCCCAGACCCTGGGGAAAGGAAGCAGTATTTAGCCCTAGAGACGGCTGGTCATTGCGAGCAAACCAGAATGCTCTCTTTGTTTCTGGAGAGCACGCTTATCTTGAGGCTTTATTTTGTCTGCACCTATTGGCATTTCCAAATAGGAAGCTTCCCCAGCACCCAGCCCGAGATATATAAAGCCACAGGAAAATGGAGGCATGTCACTGCCATGTTGTTTCTCCGGTCCTCAGGTCCCTACTTGGCCTGCCTCCTTCTCTCCGTTTTTCACAGTGCCGTGTTTGTTTCACGTAATGCCTAGGATTTGTATCTATACTTCGCAGGTGGAAGAGGTAACAGTGTTTCTACTCCATCTTCCCAGAAGCAGCAATCTGTGCCAGCAGCATTTCAGATTTCCTGTAAGAGTCTTTCAGGCGACTTTAATTCCTCATTTGCATTATAGCACCTTAAGAACAAGCAGTTATTTATTAGCTTAATGTCTTCATGGGACATTTTCAGTGTACTTTTCCCACTGTAAAATAATACTTCATCCTTGTCAGCCTTTGTAGCAATTTCAGCTCACATTTATGATTGTGAGTGTTAGCTCCTCTGGTTCTGTTTGATCAGGCAGACACTGCATATCTAAACCGTTGCTGATTGGCTCTTGGTACCAAAAGTAGACCCAAACGGTCTAACTTGTCA